TCGACGAAGGGTGCTGGCACCCAGCCCAACCAGGGACTCGCTGGTGTCTCCGGCACGTCCAGCACGCTGCAGCAGTGTGGTGGCTTGTGCACGCCAAGCAAGCCAGTGCGCCCCGGGAGCTGCCTGCCGTGTTGGCTGGCACACTTCTCCAAGTGCAGCAGGTTACCAGTGCACCACCACCACGCTCTCTGCCGCTAAACTGGTTGAGTCCTTAGTAATGAAAGTGACAGCTAGTGCATGCACTGCCCTTTTTGGGGGAGTCAGTGCTAAGCAATGGTACTTGCAAATTAACATCTTTGAGAAAACACCAGCCTCAGTGTTCTCCAGCCAGCGTGGGGCCCTTGCCTGGCACCTCGATTCCTGCCAGGATTTGTGCTCCTTCCTGCTCCTCTAACATGGGTACACCTACGCCTTTACATAAGAGAGGTAAAATAAAAAAACCAAAAAAATTGAAAAAAAAAGAGTTTACATGACAAATTATTGTTTGGTGAAATTCTGGTCTAGTGATAAAAAAGAAAAGATAATGTCACAACTGATATCTAGTATTTTGCATAATATTAATAACATAGCATAATCCAAGTAATGCTATTATTACTATCAAGTGTGACTAATTAGATATGTAAAAATAGCTTTTCTCATCTCTATAATACATTTAGATTCCTAAAATACCCCTTTTTTTTCAGATTTTTAATTTTGAGTGCTGAACATGTAAGGCAGAGTCTGACAGCTAAGAGGATTGCTTGTCAGTGAAGACTGGATAATTTTTGCAGAGCTGTGGATATGACAGAGAAGGTGTTCTACAACTTGAGTCCCCAGACCGTGTTTGTGCAGTGCCTAGGGGACTGAGCCCTCCTGGCTTAAGGTTTGTTACTGCCGCCAAAATGCAAATATGAAGTCATTAAGCTGCTTGAGCCCCTCAGGACCAACAGCCTCAGGGCTCCCATTGCACAAGGGCACTGTACAAGCAGGCAGCCACCCCAACACCAAAAGCGATGGGCTCAGCGCTTAACCTTTAGCAGTGGGAGCCGTCTCTTTTATTGTGCCTCTGCTTGCAGAGTCTCCCAGGGCAGGCCAGAAAACCCCTGCTTGTTTTCGCTCACTTTGGGAGGTATGAAATGAGAAGGTCAATTCTAGCAGAAAGAAAGGCTCAGCAGGTGTGAATTGAAACAGGTCCATTGATTTCAACAGAACTGAGCCAGTTTGTACCAGTAGACTGATTCTCTCATTGTCTTATCCAATTTAGCTCTGCAGGGCTGATGTTGTTAACAGTGTTGTTGAAATGTCTGATAACAGACAGAAAAAATCGTGCATATTTTTAAATATGTGTATATATGTCTAGAAAGTGATGGGAGGGGGGGCGGGGGGGAAAAAAGAGACCTAACAAAAACTCCTAGGCTTCAAATTCCCTTGCCTTTTTCACCGACTTTTACTGACAGCCTTCTTCTGATGCCTTTTTTTTTAAAGTGACAGTAAATTTATTATGGCTGTCACCACAACAGGTAATTGGTATGCTGTACACGCTGGGGAATGGGAAAGTGGTGGGTGACAAAATTGCACTAGTGTGCATAATTACGGACTGGAGCAGAGCACATTGCTGGAGAGCTGCAATGGGTCTGAAAGCACCCTGCTCCTTCCCCTCTCCTCCGGCCTTTTTCTAGTACTCCTGTTATTTTGGGGGTGCTTCAGGATTCTCCCAACCCCTCATCAAAGATCTGCCTCAAAAGTACCTTTCACAGCATATCCTTCACAGTATAAAAATGAAAAGCCTCCTAAACAATGCACTAACAGGGGCAATTATTTCCCTGGTGCATAGTGGTAATTATTAATGACTTAAACCCACTCAGCACTTCGGATAAACTGAGTACTCAGTATGAATTTCTGCTCCTTTCTCCAGCAGGTATGAACGTATGACCTCTTTCCCACTGCATCCGCTAGATTTATTCAGTGGAGTTATTCACATGCTGTGGCAGAGTGAAAAATCAATAAGGGCTTTTTTTTTCCCCTCCCTTCTGGAGATTTGTTTTTCAGTGCAGGTTAAAGTTATCTTCCCCCAAAAGCACCACACACTGCTATTGGCTGACTCAGCCATTGCTGATAGCAGGAGCTGTCAGAAAGTTTGCCTCAGTTTTAATCCTTTAGATTTTAAAGTTTTGTCAAAGGCATTCAATGTAACAAATCACTGCAATTTAGTATAATAAATAGGAGCTTGTTTTGTATATTTCATGCGCACGCAATACCACATCTCATCTCCCTCTCCTTTTAGTGTACAAAAATTGTTTTATTGAATGGGAGGTAGCAAAATATTATCTAAAATCTAACTTTACCTGCCAGTCTCTTCCTGTATGAGGGCAAAGTTTATTCTTGCGAGGTGTCATGCTGACTCCAGTAATGTTTATTTGCCTGAGCAAAAAGCACCCAGGTCAGTAAGGGTGATCAGGAATGTGTCCCTGGGTTGCTGCCTCTTTGGCTACTTGTTTTTCCACCAAGGATGAAGCTTCCTGACGTTTGAAGGACATGTTGCAGATTCAGGAGCTAGCCATTTAACCGTTACCCTTTCTTAATTTTCCCATAGTCCTGTACAAAGTAATAGGACTTATTTTCACTTGGCATATGGAAAAAAAGAAGGACCACACATGGCTTGCCAGTACAGACCTTTTTGCATCTGCTGCACTAAGAGGAATGGATTTCAACTCTATGCAGTACTTTTCTTTCACACTCTTTACAAAATTATAATAAGTTAAGTGCAATGGCTCTAAAGGCAAAAAGCATGCAGCCAGCGGTATTCTTGATATTGTTTACACTCAGTAGGGTAATGCATTTCACTGAATGGGGGAAAGTTGACTGAAAAGCAGAATCCTCTTGTAACGAAATCAAGAATTATTGGCCTTCATGATGACTTTTCTTTCCCCAGCGCTGCTGAGCTCACGTACCCAGGACTACCTGCTCCCTGTGTGCCTGCAGGAGAGAGCCTAAGCAAGACCCCCAGCCCCACTCTCCTTTCACATGGGCAGCCTGCTTTCCAGAGCCAAAGAAAAAGTGAGTTTTTTTCTGTTTCTTACCCAAAATCCTGCTACAATGAAGGAGCTGCACTGCCTTCTTTATAACGCTTAGGCAGGGCTGGACTGCTCTCTGGGCCTGGACCTGGATCTGGAGATGAAGACAGTGCATTCTCCACCCCATAGAGGGTCTCAGGCATCGGCCCTAAGTGCATCCCCCAAAACTGTGCCCTGCTCTGTGGGCTACCAGCTGAGCCAGCACCCAGTGCCGCTCAGTTGGCACGCCTGCATGGGACAAAACAAGCACGTTTAAGCAACGGCCTGTTCCTTTTTGTTTCCATCATGCTGAATACATCCTCCTCCTGCCCTCGGCGCAGGTACAGCCTGGTCCTCAGAAGTGCTGAGACTTCCTCCATCCTATAAATCCTCTGTTGCTGAAGCTGCCTTGACAAGTTTTCTTGTCATTTGAAAATAGCTGTTCCTGTACCCACGATGCCAGATATTACCGCAGCTTTGGGAGCCCGTCTCGCTTAGCTAGTTCCCATCTGCACCAAACCCTGCCTCTGGCTGAGCATCTCTGTAAGCCCCCATTCTGTGACACTTTTGGTCACAACCATCACTGCCCTGAAACTTTCAGCGCAGCGTGCTGTCAAGCAGGAAGAGGACCCATACATTTTTATTGGGTTCAGAAACACCTCTGCCTGATTCATTAATGCCAGCTTGCAATGCCAGTAATGCCAATAAAGCCAGTATTTCTCTCCCTGAGACATCTGCAGTATGTCATGTCAGTGCCACCTCCACTGCCCCACTCTGCAGAGGAGGGCCCCTACTAATTTCTACACAGTGGTCAAAAGCCTGTAAAAGCCTATAAAAACATGAATGTCAGTGAAATCTGACTGGACTTCCCTATATATATAATTTCTGGTGTGTTTGAAATGTCTCAGTATGGCCCCCAAATTTGAGGGTAGATAACATCATACAGTGGAATGTGTGGTAGCTTTATTTTTGGTGGCTTTAATCACCACTGCTTTAAATACATTGAGCAGAATATAAGGATGATGCTTATAGGCAAGTACAGTCCTCTAAGTCTGAGAATACATTTGCCTCACTACATATCCTAATTGGGTGTCCTTTAATGACAGTGAAGCTTTGGTGGAAAAGGTCAGCAAATAACTGCACAGCTCAGAAAATTCACACATCATAATCCCAGTCCTTCAGTTTCCCTCTTCCCCATGCTATACACTGTTCGTCCCCAGACAGGAGCAAGTTACAGCTCTCCACCTCCTGTTTTTTTCCTGATGTTCTCAAATAAGAGCAAAACAGCCCCCCTCTTGCTTAATTGAGCTTGGTTCCTATGATGCTGAGTATGTCACATCTTGTCAGAGCATTTATAGTTATTGACATTCATTTTATTAGAAAGAAACATTTGAAACAAAATCAATGCATTGCTCGTGCAAGAAGCAATAAAGTCATTTTGGACAGCATGGTGGTTTTGTCTGCAGCCGACGCCTCTTTCCAGCTGTGAAAGCCCAGCTAGATGCTGCAGACTCTCAAAGGAGCAGTCAGTGAGGAGGTGGGAGAGACGAAGGAATAAACCTCTGCATCATAAAACAGATGGGGGAAAACAGAAACATGGGAAATGTTTCTCTTCCATTATGTGGATTGCCCATCATCTCAGTTCATGAGAGCACAGCGCAGGTACTTGGCTTTTTACTTGGAAAGGTGAAGCAACTGTTAAGAAGAGCGCAGGTGACAGTGCTCTGCTGCAAGGGTGGCCTGCAGGCATGACAAGTGAGAAGGGCATTTCCTACCCGTCTCAGAATTCGAACCTGAATTTCGCCTTATTCACGATGAGGCAGGGGTTTAAATAATGACAGTGTAGTTTTATTTCTTCTTTTTAAAAAAGAGAAAATAAGTATATTTCTACTTGTCACAGATGTGAAGAAAAGCTAGAAAATACAACTTGAATGTTGCTCTAAAGGTCAAAAAATGAGACAGCAACTAAAAAGAGCCCAAGCTTTATTTTAATCTCTTGATATTTTTTCTAGCCGATTATATTATTCTGCTGGGTCCTGCAGTTCTTAAACATCTCAGCTCACCAGTGCTCATTTGCACCAGTCACAAGGCTATGCTACAGCTCATACCCCTCCTTTGAGGTTTGCTCAGGGGTCAGCTCCTGTGAAGATGCTCACGTCAGAGCAGAAAGCAACGTGAAGCCTCTGGCTGTGCTCGCACCTCTTGAAGCACCAAGTGAGGAGAGATGTGGCAAGAAGGATGGCGCACAAGGATTCTTGGCTCCTTGGCTTCATCTCTTCTGCTGCCACAGAACAGCGCCTTGAAGCAGTACCAATGCTGCGTCTTTTCACAGTGCAAAGGTGCTGCGGTTGCTGCCAGCATCCTCAGAGGCATTTCTGCATGGTTTTCTTCTGGGTTCATATGTTCAAAGGCTGACAGACAAGTGCTTCGTGGGCTGATGGGCTGCACTTCGCACCAGGGTCTCACCACACACCTCAGACTATACCGTCAGATGTAGTGGACTGTAGAAATGGATAAATGATGACATAGTGGAGACCACCCTTAATTCGGGGCCATTTGTCCTTTTTCCTGGCTGCAGAACTGAGAGAAAGGGCTGAATGATGACAATAAACGGTTGGAAACACCCTGAAAATGAGGGAAATAGCCTTCAATAGAGGTGAGGCCTCCTACCATATCTATTAAAAGTGTTCTGGGACACAGAAAGCTGTCCCCCATGTCTTGAAACCACTCACTTGGAGAGGAGTGCCAGAATGGTCTGGTCTCAAATGAACTCTTGTCGGCCACCTCTGGGTGAATTTGGTTGCTCTTCTCAGAAATGATCTCTCCTTTGCAACACAGTTAAACATGAGCAGGAGTTTCTCAGTCACGTGATTCCTTAGGTATTATTGTTTTAAAAGTAGAGCTTACCAGCTTCTGTCACTGCGCACTATGCACCCAGGAGCGGAATTGGTCCCAGCACAGGCTGTCAAAGTGGGTCTTCGCAACAGGTCATTTTTTTTACTCTCTCATACACTGGCTAAGTCAAGCAAATTCCCTGGGGTAACTATTAATTGTTTTTGTTTAATTTCACATTTTGGTGCAGCTTTTAGGTGTCAGTGTCCACTGCAGCTGCTGGAGCTGGTCACTGGACTGAGTACTGACCAAGAAAGTCTTGGCTGTGCAGTGTGGACCTCCGTTTTATCCTTCTGTAAATAAAGTAGAACCTAGCCCAGATCAGCAAAAATCATTGATTAAACATCCCCCCCTCCCAGAATAATGGGATTTACTTTAAAGTCATTAAAATTGCAAAGGTGTATTCTATCTCCTCGTAAATTCCCACGCCTCAGTAGATGCTCAGGTTTCCCTCACACTGGGGAGGTCTAGCAATTAATTGCCTTTGCTTGCAAGCGGAGAGTCAGACTGCTACCTTGTCACCAGGCATCGTTTGTCTGTCAGGCTGCAGCCTTCCTAGGGGTCTACATGACTCCTCACAGTCTGGATGGACTGTGCACAGAGGTGCACCGCTCCAGCTCCAGTGTTAGGGGTTACTGACCCTCCTCCCACTGAAGCCAGTGCAATTTTTGTGCCTATATAAATACTACATTTATATTCAGACCCATTTAGCCTTGTCTTCTGCTCTCTGCTTGAGAGGAGTATATGTGTATATGTGCACATGCACAGGTATACGTACGCATTTAAACTTGCCGGGTCTGCCTAGACCCAAGGCTGGGCAGCTCTAGCCCTGTCCACTTCTCACCCAATAGGTGACACCACAAAAAGCCATAATGTACTTGGGCAACCTGGACTCTCAGTAGACTATAATCTCTCCCCTGGACCTCAGAATCTATCTATGGCAAATTTGAACTGTCTAGGCCAATCTCAGGCGGCCCGCCAGAGCTCATGAGTGTGTGTATGCAGTCCCATGTGTACAGCGAGTGCATGCTGTGGGGCAATACCAAAGCACAACACTTTAAAACATGGAATACACCTCTCTTTTACACTGATTATCATTAAGATTTTACATTTGTTCTTGTTTCCTTTTTTCCCTAACTCTAAAAATAAGCTGTGGAGACTAACACACAGCTTCTGGACCCCATTTTGGCCCTTCTCCACTATGCCTAAGGGTTTGTCTGCATTTGGTTATTCATTGAAATAGCAACTGTGGATAATGATACTGGCTTTACATATATATATATAAAGCAAGCAACAGAACAAAAAGCATTACACAGGCTTTGCTTGGCTACACAAAACAGATCAAAAGGAGACAGCTATCCACACCGTTTGCCTAAAAGTTTCTTCCCATTTTAATTCATAACACGAGCGCCCTGCTGCAATGGAAAGCTCCAGACAGAAACATTTTTCCTAGTACTTCAGCGGTTCTCATTTCTGGGTGGCAGCAGGTAAACTGTAGTGAAAACATGAGGGGACATTTTCCTTTTGTGGTTCCTTTGAGATTACCGAATAGTATTTCAGTATTTCACTCTAGTACATCTCATTTTTTGCCTAACCACCTAATTATAATTTCCTATAATTACTGGCAGGCATAAACTAGCAACCTGCAAGAAAATATGTCTAGTCCCAAGCTGTCTGCAATCAATATCTCATCTTGAGAGATAATCAGGTTTTTGGAGACAAATAATGGGTCTGTGATTCATCCCTGTGATTTTAATAGGCCAAAATTACACCTGCAGATGACAACCCTGTTAAGAACTAGGGTGCTTGAGATAAGGATCTATATTTTGCAGTGTGGGTTCCATTCTGACATTTTAAATACTCTTACACTGGCTTATCTGAGTGAGAAAATAAGTCCCTTGGACAATACAGATAATTTGGTTTAGCTTTTTACAAGATGAGTTGCCCATGTGCATTCTCTGTTTCCTTGGATACTAGAGATTTCATGCCACAGTTCAGCCACACATACATTTTCTACTCCATTACAGCACCTAGAATATGAATGAAAAATCCTCAGAAATTGTTAAGACATGAACAAGACTGCAGGTGTAACCTCAAGCAGGAACCTCCTAGACAGGGTCAGATAGAAGCAGACAGGGAAGGCAGAAAGTTCATCATCTGCATAGGCTTCTCAGTGGTGCTCCCTCTTGCTTTTCTAAGCAGGTATGACTTACATAGGAATATTCTCTTTCCTTCACCGTTCTGAAGCTGCAGGTGTTTTTGCTTTTGGCATCCACCTGACTGACAGCTCAAAATATAATGAATTAGACCATGGGCGTAGTTTGGACTAAAGGCCAGTCCAATGCATTTTCAAACGAGTTTTCATAAGCCCTTGCACAATCATAATTGTGTGATAAAAATCAGAAGTTCCATCCTCAAAGCTACACTTAGGTGTGCAGATTGATTTACTAATCTTATGAACCAGTTTACAGACAAATTCACTCTTTTCGGACACTCATGCAATTATTGAATTTCTGAATATTTGCCCAGCATTTTCTAAGTCTTTTGCAAGTCATGAATATTTTCCCAAAAATGGACAGATTACTGACTAATTCCAAGTTAGTTGATAATAATAACAACAAAGCTCGTTTAAATAGTCTTTCAAAATTTCACCAGAGACTTGTTTATTCCGGATGAAAAGGCAGGGAAGACCTAGAAAAACCTGGTGAGTACTTTCTACAGAGTTCTTCCATCTTTAGGTGGCGGTTTCTTCATGTTTAGTAAACATAGATGGACTTTTCCCATTAATTCATTGAGTTATTTTGAAAACCCAAACGATTTTGGGTTTTCCAGACGACTAGAGGCTGGCCAATGTGACGCCCATCTACAAGAAGGGCTGGAAGGAGGATCCGGGGAACTACAGGCCTGTCAGCCTGACCTCGGTGCCGGGGAA